TTAAAAAAATTACGAAGTGTGGAAGCAGTAGAACCATTTGCAACAAAGATTTTCATGTTTAAATAACCCATATATTATTTTAATGTTAGGATGAACTCTTGCATACATTTGTAAGTAAAATTGATTGGTATTTCATTCATGATGGTTGTATTTTACTCAACCATAAGATCTGTACAGTTCATATTAAAGTAATTAATTTCAACCCACTGAGGGTCTTATGTGGTATATTTTGCACTTCAATTCATGTTCTTCATCAATCTTAACTTTTAAGTAGAACTGAAATGAGAAACTGCTTTTATAGGCAGAAAGGAATAGCACCTTTGAAGATTTATGTTAAAGACATCTATTTTCAGATAAATAAATTCTTCTTAAATTCTATTTAAGTATACAGAATTAGTTATGAAATCACTCCTATAACACCCTTCCTTCTCCCCATACCTGTACTTTGGTAAAACAAGTATGTTGTCAGTAGGCTTTTATGTTAAGCACAGACCAAACTGGGATTTTTCTAAGATGGAAGTGCCAGTCTTTTCTCCCTTTGCCTGACTCAGGATGCTGTCATCTTGGATTACCAAGTGCTATCACACAAAGAAGGAAGTTGGTTGTTCAAGGATCTAAATGCTATAACATATAAATAGCTTATTGGACATAGTCAGCATCTTGAACTACACCAGGAAATTTTTTGGAAGCCATTCTAAGAGCTCCTTCTAGATCTCAGTGTCAAACCATCAAGTTGGTATAGTTAGCCATGATGAGGTTTTCAAATAGGATTTAGACATAGGAACAACTTCCAAGAAAAAGTGAATTCTCCTAATCCCAGTTCTTAGCAGGAAAGTGTTACTGTCAGAAAACTCACATTAAAAAGGCCAAGATGGACAACCTGACAACTGGAAATTTAGGGAATCCAGACAGAAACATCCAGCAATCTGTCATGCTTCCAGAATATGGACTTATCTTTCAAATTTCAAATTTTATTTTCATAGGTACCATGGCTATGCACATGTGGACAAGAAATCAGGATAAACATAATATCAACTGGCTCTTGCAGATACTTCCTCCATGTCACAAAAGTTATCTTAGCTTAATCTTGACATTGACCTTCACCCAAACCCATGTTCTATCAGGCAGTTGACAGGTAATTTTGCCACAGAAAGTCATTGTTCACAGACAATAGCACATTGAGAGTTTTCACTTTTAAGACAGCATGGTTCATATGACTTGACAAGTCTCTAAGTGGCCTTGTATGTAAATTAAATGAGATAGGAAACCACAGAGAATAGGAACCCTAGAAAATCCTAAAATAGAGAAAGCATAGAAATTTTTATTTTGTTGAAAATACAGTCCAAATTTTCTCATACATATGAGGCTTAAGATAATTCACATTCACAACCTTGGAGTAGAGGACTAGCTGGCAACTATTCTAATCAACTAAACAAAAAGCAAATAACCTAGGAAAGATTATGATGATAATGATGAAGATGGTGAAGAATTAAAAACACCCTCAATATACTCTCTCTGTTGTGTACTTTGTCTTAAAGATAAACTGATTAGAGTGATGGAGCTCTGGATACTATTTATATTTGAAGTATTTCATATCTGATCCAGTTCCATTCAAATTAACAATATGTAACTTACTTCAAAGGCTTTTGTAAATAAACCCAAGAACAAGAGACTAAGAATTCCTACCTCTAAAACACCCAATACTTTTCTTCCACTGAGTACAGAAACATCAATCTTATACTACTCATTCAGAACATAGAAAATGCATTGATACACAGAGTTGTTAAATGCTTCATGGATTTTTAACTGTATATTCCACATACAAATATATCAATAATTGTTTAATTTTGGTTTTTCAATACTAGCAGAACCTAGAATATTCCTGTATTTTTTAATGCTGTGTAAGTTTTTCTCTTTACTTTAAGATCCGCTCAAAAATATACTTGTACTTCCCACACAGAACAAAACACACCACAGGAGGGTGGAACTGGAAAGGGTAAAGGTAAGTCTGAAATCATATTTAAAAAATAGGCAGTAAAGAGAACATTCCTAAATGCTGTTCTGATGCTGGATTGCTTGAGCTTTAATTCAGAAGCTTGAAGCAGAAAGTGATGTTTGAGTGAGTCTGGAAGTTGACACTGACCAAGCTTGCTAGAACTCAGATGCTATGCACATTGGTAGCTTTTAAATAATGCAGACAATCTCCTACTGTCGTTCTAAGCTGTTTCTATTCTAAAAGTGAAACTTCATATTGCATGTTTTACCTTCCAGCAAAGTCTAATAGATTTTTCCATCTAAAAAAAAAGAAATCACACATTCATCTTTCTGTTCTTATTGGGAAGCCCAGCAGCTGAGCTCATGACAAGTTCTGAAAAATGTTTTTGAGGACTGTCTGCTGTGAACAAACACATCACTGTTCAACTAGCAATGCATGTAAAAATCAGCTCCATTTTTAATATATGTTTTTGTGCTGCTGAGATTAGATGCCAGCTCTGTTGGCAATTCTTGTGGTACAAAAATATATTTTGAGAGAACTAGGCCAAATTCCACTCCTGTTTGTACTCACGCCAAAGTAGAATTCAAACTGCTCATCAACTTATTTTGAAATGAATAATCTTTTTTTATTTCTTCATTCTGATAAAAGGCTAACCCAGCCGAAAATATACTTACAACTGATGCAATGCTTGCTTTTGTTTTGGCATGGTTATATTTCTCCATGGCAAATCAAGAAATGGCTTGCTTGAAAATGTATTCTGGCTTTTCATCTCTTCCAGGCAAAATCTTGCCTTTTAGACAGACTGGATGCATACTTGATACTTTCAGATTCATTTGGCAAAGACATGCATGGCTATTTTTCTCAGCAAAATCAAAATATAAACACTGAGAGTGTGTGATTCATGTACCCTTTTGAAAATCAAAATGCTGAACCAGGATTCAGTGCATGTTATTTTGCCAGCTAACTTTGCATTGAGCAATTATTTTGACACACAGAATTTTGTGTGAGTAATCAAATCTGTCATCTTGATAATGGAAACACAAGTCAGGAATAATTTGCATGCCTAATGGCAGGAAAGAAGATGAAGGTCTTGCCTCAAGCTATTCCAGCATTTAGTTCTGATTGCTTTAATTTTGATATGACAAAAATATTTATTCCCAAACTGAACATGAATGGCATTTTCCCCACTGCTTACAAGTCTACATTTTACTGAATAAAAAAGAAAACATGGTAGGTATCTTATCAAACATTTCTATTATATTTTTATACATTATTATGTTTCTGTTTTGAATTTAGTGAAGAACACAGGTATTTCCTTAGGGGGAAAAATGCTTTCTTGGTGCTTTCCCTGTTTCGGAGGATTTTGCTTCCAAAAAGTTGTTTGAGATCCTAGCATGGGAAGTGTTTCCAGTTTCAATCTATGGTGGTGGCAGCTGCCTCAGTTAGAGTTCCAGTGAAAGTCTGAATACCAGTATATAGAAAGAATGACCTTCTGCTGTGCTCCAGTGAAACTGTTATCCCTGCAAGGCAATGTAGATGTCATTGCCAGACACGCAAGAGTAATTAATTTTTTTGACTAGGTATAGTGCAATTGTTCCTATCAGCTCCTGCTTTGTTGGAGAGTATCACCAAGTAAGGGAAAGTATATTTTCTTAGAGTGATTCCTTCATGTTTGCTTGCCAGAAGAAAATGTTTATAAAGGTGAGCATAATTCACAAAATGAGAAAAGGTTCAATTTTCCAATCTGCCCAAAATCATTTACAGTAGAAAATGAGCAGTTCCATAAGGAATGAGGACAGAACCAGTTAAATGTTAGCTTTTGTATAAGCTATTTATAAAACTGTTTCTGTAGCTTCATAAGTAACAGGTTTGGGTACTTTATTGAATGGGAATGAGATAGGAAAGGTTTCATACCCAAATTCAATAGCGATTTTACAATACCTGTGTGTTAGCAGTTATGATCTCTTTGCTGATGATTTATAAGAAACAGCACACTGTAGGGGCCTGGGACAGCCCCTCTCTGCCACAAAGTCAGGATATTCTGGAACCTGGTATTTAGAAAAGAAAGCTTGATAGTCCACATAAACCACATAGCCCATAATTTTCACTTCATTTCTAAAACAAAGTTAACAGCAGAAGTTAGGAAGATAAAGTACACCTATCAGTGTGTCTGTTTTACTGTTCTATTTATTTTTAGTAGTTATTGTCTGTGTGAAATTACATATTTATGTTCCTTTATGTTCACTGTAAAGTTAAGAGATGGCAGACAGTGTGATAAATTCTTTGTTATCTTGTGGTTATTTTCCTGTAAAATAGTTTCTCAGATTAGTAAAAATAAATCTTTCTTGCTTAAAATAATCTTTCATAACATTTCTAGTTTCAAACATCTGAAATAATGTCATAAAACTTCAGGATATATATGATCATCCCTTTTATTTTCAGAGGAAAATAGTGACTCAGAAGCAATTCTACCAAATTTTCTGTGTTATCCCATGCTTACCCAATTTAAATTCTTTTTCCTTTGTTTTTAATTTTAGCATTATCTTTCAGATTTAATATTTTTATAATTGTATTCCCACTTGCTAGAATAATAATTGAATTTTTAATATCAAATTTGCTCATTCCTTTTTTAGGTCACATCCAGCCATGATTTTTCTGCATGTTTTACTGGCACCTTTTTCTCTAGGTTCCATTCAACCATCTACTAAAATGTTTGCATGTTTCATCTTTGCATTTTCCCAGCTTTCACTTATCCATTCGTGTCTTTACTAAAACTTCCATTGCTGTATGTATGTACTTCATTGATCATTCCCAAAGTGCCAAGTGCTGAATACTGTTTGAAAATCAGACGGGTATTGAAGGTAACTGAATTTTAAACTCAGTTTCAGAAGGGTTAAACTGTGGTCAGTAACTTCAACATAAACCAAAATGATTCAGCCACTTGGTTGAGTTACTCTATATTTATTTATGCACCACAAAGACATGGGCTCACTCTTGTGCTGTTTATCTGCCTTCTGCCTTAACTTGGTACACTTGCTCCAGTGTTCAGTAGCACAGATGAATGTTAAGGCACTCTAAAGAAATCTGCAGCTGGAAAACAGTGTCTGTCCCCTGTTCACTACTCTGACATATCTCTCATGCCAGCTCCTGTTGCCAGCGAGTGAGAGCAGGCAAGAACAACAAAGAAAGATTAATAAGTTTACTGGCTCTGTTAGCTGATTAAATAAAGTTTGAGATGCTGCTCCAGTGGAATCACTTCCAAAATTCGCCTGTTCAGTTGTGAAGCACTAGGCTTTTGATGCTGACACATGGCTTTCAAGTCTTCTTTTCAACAGCTGAAAGATAGAAAAGTAAAATAATAGGTCAATGTGATTTTGCCACTTCTGCAAAGTTGATCAACAATATGACTGATGGCAGAATAGCAACTTTTATTTCTGTGTGGTGGATTTCAAATCAAGGGTAAGTATAAAATATAAAATTCTTGGTACCAGCTGTTCATATATAAATCAGTAGTTATTACTTATATTTTGAAGATTTTTTTACACTCTTACTGTGTCAGCAGTCAGAAATTTTAATATTGAGGTTACACTATCTGTGAGTATAATAAAGTTTCACATTAGCTAATTCTGAGATAGGAAGTGTTCTTTCATTTTACAAGACCCTACTCCTGATGGAGCTCCAAGAGACGTAGTCCTCAATTAATGTGATCCTTTAGGTGTGCAAGGAAATAAACATAAATATCCTATTTGTTCATGAAAATGTGCCACAGATGAATAGGAGAGAAAAAACAAAAATCTCTGTAGAGTAATTTTTTGTCAAATGAAGTGTTTCTTCTTAACTAGCTCTTCTTCTGCAACAGATTACTAAATAAATTCCATTAAAAGTTTACTTGCAGGAGATAAGGATCTAATGATCTAAGGAACTAATGATCACAGTTCTACAGACAGGACTGGTATTACTGCAATTTTTGTTATCTTTAAATAGAATTTGTTGCTAACTTAAGCATTCACCACCAAAAGCAAATTGGTTATAGCTATTGAACCATTTTTCATATTTATTCAGTAGTATTTTCATTTTGTCCTAGAAGCCTGAGATGTAAGGAGTCATGGACTGATAATTACCCATTTTTCAAAACTGACATGTATTGGTTTTGTATTCATTCCATTTACAACACATTCAATTGTGCTTTCATTTTGATACTTCTGAAATGTTTGTTTGGTTTGATTTGTTTGTGTTTTATGTTAACATTTTGTTTGAAAAATGATAGACTAGCCAGGAGAAACCCCAGCAATCCATCTGCAAAACTAACACTTTTTGTTGTTTTAGTCTTTCAAATGTTTAAAGAAAACGGAAGTCAAATAAAGTAGTCCTTCAATAATGCTATTATCATACATCATCATGTAGGGTGCATGACATCAAATGTTTTAATTTGATAGATCTTAATTACTTTTTTCTGGCCAGAGAGAATATTCTGGCCAGAAGAATACCTCTTCAAGCCAAGCACAATGGTGACATCATTGACAAAAAGAGCTGAAAGCACAGTTTTTACTTTCATGAAATATGGAGAAAGATTTGCAGTAGAATTACTTGGCCTTGCATTCATTTACTTGTTAACACAGTACATTAAAACATCTGACATGACTTCATCATTACTGTACTTTCACTGAAAATCAACATTCTCAGAGTCTTCTTATGCCATTGGATGATGCAGGTGCTGAGAACTCTTCCACTAAGTGAACTTTTAATTTACTGTTTTGCTGTAAGAAATCATTTTTGTAAGATAGCACATTAATCCTTCATGTGTAGGCCTACATTTTACAACTGACATCCTCCTCCCAAGGGGTTTTTAAAAAGAAGTTTGATGAATCATTAAAAAGGAATGAGTAAAATGTTATGACTAAATAGTTAAATTCTATTTACAGACTTTCAATTAGCCTTCAGTGGTTAAGCAAGCACAAAACAATATTTAGAAAAATGCAACTATATTTTATATGTGGTTTTGTCAT